TCGAATCATTAGGTGATGCTGTGTCCACAAAACTAGTCATAGTATTATTTGAAGCAGCATGTCCACTTTCGACGTGTCTACCATCGTATTCAAGAGATACCAATGAATGATTTAGAGTGGACAATCCAAAACTCGTATTGTTAGGTAATGCCATATCTACATTATTCGAAGCAGAATGTCTATTTTCAACGTGGCCACCATCGTATTCAAGAAATATCATTGAATGATTTAGGGTGGGTAATCCAAACGAATCTAAGCTCGAATCATTAGGTGATGCTGTGTCCACAAAACTAGTCATAGTATTATTTGAAGCAGCATGTCCACTTTCGACGTGTATATCATCGTATTCAAGAGACACCAATGAATGATTTAATCTAACAGAATCCAAACTCGAATTATTAGGTAATGCCATACTAGTCATAGTATTAGACATAGTTATATTCGAAGTATTTGCGGTGTTTTCGTGAAAGATGCTAAAATCCGATAAATCAAATTTATTTTTTAAACCATATCGTGTGTTATAAATTTTTTTTGCTTCTTTGGCTAATTGTATATATGCTATTTTCACAAATTGTGGTTCTTTTTTCCATAATCTTGCAGCAATTTTTGAAATTGTTGGCATAGGAATCGAAATATTATTCTGATCCGCTTGTTGAACACAGGATTTCCGATAAATAATAAAAGCATTTGGGGGTTTCGTTGGAGCGTGTCCTTTACGTGTAGTTGTAGGCACGAGTTCGGTTGCGCTAATATTTGGCAGGAAAGTTGGTCTAATGAATTCTGCCAATATAGTATATGACATATTAAGAGAATTCCAGTTTTATAAAGGCAATTTTATAGATTGAATTGTGCTTTTTTATATTGAATCGTGCTTTTATAAATATAGGCTGAAAATTTGTCATCGCACCGTGGCATTGAATAGGCTGAAAATTTGTCATCGCACCGTGGCATTGACTGATCTTCATTGCATACTCAAAGTATAGCACATGGGAGATTGTTTATATTTATAGCCTTAATGGTGCACCATTCAAAATATAAATTTCAATGTCCATTGATTTTTTTATTATAATTATTAATAAAAGATCACATGATGTCCATTGATTGATCTACTTGAATGAATTAAAGTTGAATCTCAATAAACTTGTAGAAGATAATAACGGATTATTTTCGGTACGTCTACTCTCGACGTGGCTATTATCGCATCCAAGAGACGCCATTGAATAATTTGGAGTAAATAATCCAACAGAAACCAAACCCGTATTATTAGGCAATGCCGTATCTACAATACTAGTCATAGTATTAGACATAGTTTATATTCGAAGTATCTGCGAGGAATTAAGAGAATTTCAATATTTTATGTTTATTTTTATAGATTGAATTTTGCCCTTATTGGAGGATCGTTGTCTCGTTTATTATTTATAGATATTGACCTCATATACATCTATCGCTATTCTTATCGTTATATACGTATATCGAATTTTTAACGTTTTCCTTTTGGAGAATTATCGGATGCATTCGGTGCCGATCGCATTTGCGTTAGGCAACCTTCTATCAAAAACTTCCAAATACCTGACCGACCGTTCATACATTACATCATTGCCCTAATGCGAATGCGATCGGCACCAATTCATTTGCCCTGACCTCGGATTTGGAATCCCATTGCCCCATGTTATTGTTGATCTTAGAAAGTTTGATAGACGTGAAAGTTTAATTCATATTCAACAATAGAGAGCTTTGTGACCTTCTATACATGCAGTGATTTATTGCTTTTTCAGAAAAGGGTAACTTGAATTGATTCGAGAACGGATTAAATAACTATCTGACTTTTTGACAAAGTCAAAACACACGTCTTTTTGATCATTAATCAAAGAATTTATTATTTTTAACAAATATTTGTTTTAATGCGGGGATTTATATAAGATTGAATAAAGGGACCTCTATTACATTTTATGTAAAATATGATACAGATCATTATCACACTGGTGAACTGCGTTTCTGTATTATGCTAAAAAATCGAAACGAACAGATGGCAAGAATTAAAGTAGATATAAAATTTTATGCAGGAAAACTTTGAACGTCACTGTATACGAAACATTTTTTACTATTAAAATTAATAAAAGAAGAAAGTCAGGTAACGAATCATTTTAGAACTAATGCGAGATAATAAATTGATGCTAATCGATCTATGAGAGATTATCAGTGATGCTTAAACAGTGGCCATTATAAAACCAGTAACTAATAGCAACTTTCATAATTCAAGTAAGAAAAACAAAAATGCATGTTTTAAAATCTTACGCTTATTATTTTGTGCTTATAAACATCTTATTTATTGGTGCTAATGCACTCCCTAAACCCAAAATTGATCGTCTTGTAGTGGTTGAATCTACCCCTGATAAAGACGTCGAGGGAATCTCGATTACGGTAGTAGAGCAGGGGACTTTTGAAGGAAATCTTCCAGTGCCCAAATTTAATATTCCAGAATTCGATTTTCCTCATTTTCATAATTCTAAACAAAATGAAGCATTCTTGGGTCATGAATCTCATGCCTTGCCATTCAACAGGCCCACGTTTAATCGATATCCTCGTTTTCATCACTTGCATCATAACCAAGATTGGCTTCCTCATGGATTCCCACTTCATAGTCAATTGGAATCTTTGATCGATTTTAATAAAAAGCAACCCGAATTTTTGTTGTCGATGCTTAACTTATTGACAAACTCTTTGGAAAATAATATCGCTTTAGATCAAGAATCTAAAACGTCTTTAACTTTGGATCATGATTTATCACAAGATGATTCCAACTTGGGCAACTTGGATATTCCGAATATTGACGATTTACATCTTGGATATTTTCCAACTTCTGATCAAACTTTGATCGATGATAACGATGAATGCTCGCTCGACGTTGCGACAATCGACGATGACAATTTGGAGTACGATTTTCATCCGACAAAATCATTGTCAATTCCAACTACAACCGATGTAGCAATATGGAGTGCTACTTTTGATCGATTGATCGACACTCCCCCGATTTATCAGGCGATACCGTCCGAAACACATTACTGGGAGACGAACCGTTCTGAACTTCCAATGCGACTAAATCGAATTTTCCACGACATGCTTTATTCAGCTGGCTTATTTGCTTTGGTGTTGATTTTGATGCCACTTGCATCTAAATTTATTCGTGAGTATAAGGATAAGCGTAATCATTATGCACCAATGATTTTGTATGCGTGTGATGAAAAAAAGCTTGAGAAAAAATGATTTATTTACAATGTTTATCGTTATTGGTAATGGTAAAAGGTAATTACATAAAATTTGTAGATCTAAATGCATTAATTTCATATTAATGTATCTACTAACATCTGATAGATAGTAACGTAGTTTGAAATCTTATAGCTTAATTGAAAATGTTCAAAATATAATTGTCCTCTCATCTAATATCAAATTTGCCTAATTATTGCTCGGAAAACAAAGACTTGGATCGAAGGAAAAATTATTATTAAAGTAAATTTGACTGCTTGAATCTAAATTAGGCTCATCAATTATATTACGTGTATTAGGAATAAGATTATCATTATATTCATTGAACTGAAGTTCGCTTACATAATTGTGATTGAAAATGTCGTTTCCTCGGAAATTAAATTCATCATTGGGAGTGATTACGCTTTCATCGTAATTAAATTCACCTGGATTGACAATCTCGTCGTTTTCACTCAAGTCGATTGCGCTATTTTTTTCATTAAAATTACTTTCGTTTTCGTTGAAATTAATTTCGTTGCCATTGGGCCCAGAACTAGTTTCCATATTGTCTACTTGGGGTTTAAGCTTCCAAATCGCTTTGTCGCGCTTTGGCTTGTATTTATAATCAGGATGATGCAGCATATGCAATTGTTTTAGCTCCTCGGCCAATTCCTCGTATGATTTTTTTTCTTCTTTAGTAGCTTGCTTCCAAAGTGCGCCAACGATTTTAGAAACCATAGGTTGTTCTAAACTAGCAAAAAAAGACCCTTCGCTATTTGATAGTGTTGCATTTTTAATAAGCTTTTTAGCAACGAGGCGAAACAATATAAAACTGTTTGAAGGTCTTTTGACTTTACTGTCTTTAATGAACATATTTTTGTCATTCACATCATAAATGTCGCTGATCTTGAAAGGCACGGGAAATAAGTTAAGTTTTTCACGAAATAACTCAATTTGCTTTTTATATTCAAAAGTTGTCGCCGAATGTCTTTGATGTACTATTTTTTTTTCGTTATTTTTTTGGCGAATTTGATCTCGAGGTTTTTTTTGCTTTGTTGGTTTCCCCATTATGAATATGATAGCAATTGATGTTAATATTGTTTGTTGCTTTATATCTTAAAAACGCTAACCTGTGCTATTTATAAATTTTTTGGATGAATGCGGATCATTCGTACCTTAGATTAACGCATATCAAGAAAATCCATGAAGAATAATCTTGGGGGGTTTACATTCCGGGGCTAATTTCACCGTGTTACATTTTATCTAGCCAATCATCAAGTAAACATGTGATTTAAATATATAATTAAAATTTGACACTCACGTTGTTGAGAAAACTAAAACAAAAACTCACACTTATCCTTTTTCTTTTAATCCAAATATAAATATTCGGAGCGTAGAGTTACCTCATACTTACTATTGTTTAACCAAATAAATTTGTTATGTAGATTTGAATTCACTGCAGAAATTCCATGATTAAGCACAATGGATTTTAGTCCATAATGATGGGCAAAAATAATTGGTTCATATCTAAATAATAAAAAATGGCTATTTCACAGTGAAAGTTCGTATCACACTATTACATTTATCGATGCACAGTGTCACATGTAGTACACAACCAATTTGGGAATTTACAGATCTTTTTATTTAAAACAAAAATTAAAATTACAATGCGTTCTATATCACTTTTCAATAAGGAAATAGAATCCACTATAGTAGAAGCATCCATTCCATACATAGTCACAATTGTCTTGAATAATGCTTTGCAAGCTTTCCAATAATCGCAATATAATTAAATTTAGATTAATAAAGTTTAATCAACATCGGCGAGATTTTAAATTGTTGGCGAAGGCCGCCTAGTTGTCTACCTCCTTGTATTGATGAGCAGAATTTTGCAATAGATACTCTATGATCTAACAAGCATCTTTTCTGTTCCACCTATAAACAGTACAAGATCACCATTTATTCGAAATTCCATGATGCTGCTGGAGTCAATGATAGTTATTGGTACATAATCGTATAAGACCAGAAGAAAAAATTATCTAAATTTTAACGGCGCAAACTAGAGTAAACCTTTTTTATAAACTGTATTTTATGTGTCATTGATTTCACGTAATATTTTATCAACATTAATACATATTGAGTGTAAAGTTGACGATTCCGGAATAATCATTGGGGGGGGGACATTAACTCAAAAGTTCGTTCCCGTCACTTGTTCAAGAATTAAACCTTCATATTTTTGTGCCTATAGATTATATTTCAAGTACATAATTATTGTTAATAAAACAGGTAGTTTACAAAGTTCTGCTCAATACGTACATTGTTGACTTTATAATATCCTATACTAGTAGTTTGAAGTTATTCATCATACTAGAATATAAATAATTGGACAAAAGCAATTGGAAATAATATATACATGTACTGTATATGCAGTGATTATAGGTATATACTCGGTGTTTATAAAAATATATATTCGGGTGTTTATAGAAGTAATAAAAATGAACGAAAAAAACTCCATACTGTATATATTAAAAATTGTGTATATAACAGAAAAAATCTATTATTATATAAATTACCTGCTTTGTTCTCTTTATTTATATATAAAGTAGTAAGTTATTGTATTAATTTGCTTATTTTTCACTTAATATGCATGCCAAGTAGAAATCTAGGTACATGTGAGGAAGTTGCCAAACGGTTAAACCTAACGGCCCAAACGGTTAAGCGTAAAATTAACTCCGAAAATGCATAATAATAACGAGGAATTTGTTAAATTTATCATTTACAGAATTCCACGGTTAAAATTATTTTCATCTCTATCATGCATATCTGATATCATTATCGTTATCGTTATTGTTACACATGAGATTAACACACCAAATAATGAAATTAGTTTACTATTAATATTAATATTAACGCTTGCTTTAAACAATGTAAAAAGAAAAATAACAGTCGTCAAATTATTGAAAAGAATTAATATGCTTTGTTTTAATATTTAGCTGTTATTTCCCCAATAATAGTTAGCACCTTATAAAATCCGTGTGGTTAACGATCATTTCTGCGCATTTGTTTTTATAAAATGACTGAAAAAATACTTGATTGAAAAAAATAACTGACCAAAAATCCAGTTAAATCATGGCCAACAAGAATATGAATAAAAAAGAAATTTGCAATTTAGCAAAACAACTTTACAACTATGTTCAATTGTGTCCTTCTAACCGGTCCGTTAAACTACTTCGTGAAGATTTGATAAAAAAGGGTGAAAAAATGAAAGCATTACCAAATAAATTTATGATATTTCTCACGTTTATGAGGAACCAATTTAAAACCAGTAAAATTCCCCAACATCTAACAACTAAGATTACGACTCAAAATATTGCCGCAAAAATAGCATCAGAAATATGGAAACTACTTTCGCTGAAACAGAAGGATGTTTATCTTGAAATTTATAAAGCAATAAAATCCGAACATCAACAAAAATACGCTCATTGGAAAGCTAATCAACGTAGGATTAGGTCAGATTTTAATTCGAGGCCACGTAATTAATATGTACTTATGTTACAACGGATTTAATTCTCTCAATTCACCGCCATAGTTAACGCAATGAAACATATCGATTTTTGCTTTTAATAAAAATTAATTTTATGGTTTTACACACTAATAATAATATGGTCTGTTGCAAAAAGATATGTACTAAATAAAAATCATAATTACTTCTAAGTCTAATTAATCCTTAAAATTTTTTTACATTAAATAAAGATTAACTTTTAATCTTATTTTTACTATTCTGTTGTACATTTATTTAAAATTAAATGAAGCGATCCTTAAAAAAAATAAAAAAATTTACTTTAAGCATTATTTTACCAATTCGCAATATTAGAATTATGAAAGCATATTTGATAAAAATATATCTCAAATTTGATAAAGATTGAAATCAGTAGTTATAAAGAAATTAAGTCACAATTAATTTTTTTACTATATACATTTATATTTATTTAAATATAATAAAATTTATTAAATAATAATTCAAAAAAAGTAAATTGTTTATAAATTACATTTAATTAAAATATATTATTAAAATAAATCAAAATGACAGAATTAAAATTTTATTTTAGAAAAATTTTTATTCGAGAAACAATTCTTTACACCGGGCAATAATAATAAAAAATGGATTTTAGATGAATGGCACCTTTAAAAAATAAATTGACTATTTTTTTTTTAATTCTGATAATTTTTTCGACTGATTGGCGCGTAAAAAAGGTTTTAATATTACATATAATTTTTGCTTGCTTTAACGCTAATCTCACTGGTGAGAAATATAATTTTTGTTAATTAATTCAATTATTATCAGATGAGCGAGACAAGAACTTTTGAAAAATGATTCGTCAGCTATGGGCAATTTGTTTATCGTTATATCGCATCTACATGAATAACGATAATATATTTGAAGCAGATACACGGAAAATTCTAATACAATCGTTTAGGGTTAATACATGTAATTAACATCGGAATTATACGTGAAATTGCTTGATTGATACTCCAAACCATCTTTGTGACGGATTTACTTTACCGGGCTAAATCCTTTACTTTGTTTAAATATCATATGATGATACACGCGGCATCCAAATTAAGCTGAACAATTACAGTTGCAGACTCCGTGTCATTGCCACTATATTATTATTGCATCATGCTTTCTAACTGTTTTGCAAAATAAGAGAATACAAATATTTATGCATAAAAAAAAGTGAGGCGCAAAAAGGAGTCGTTTCAAATATAGTAACGGTTAATCTTCAAAGAAAATAACGGGCGGTGAATTTTTGAAATGAACGAAACACTTTGTTCGAATGTTAAGACCGTATCCGACTCTAAAGATGCTTATTTTTAGATTCATCTTCTATAAAAATGAGGGAAATTGACAAAATTTACAATCAGACTTTACAACCAGTCTTAATGAACTGTAAGAACATGAACGAAGAAGAAATTCAACAGCTTCGCAGTTATGTTGTTAAGTTTCATCCTCGTATAAGCAGTGAGCTTTGTGATATACTCTTGAAAAAAGGAGAAGCCCTGAAAAAACTACCAAATCGTTTTTTTATATTCAAAACCTTTATAAGAATTAAACTAAAGGACGGCGGCGACAGCAAAATTCCTGAAAATCTAATTAGTAAGACGAGGAATCAGAACACGTTTGTAAAAGTACTAGCAAAAATATGGCATGGACTTCCAGAATATCAACAAAATGAATATCAAGAGATTGAAGAAACAATAAAATCCATACATGAAAAAAATCACCCTCATTGGAAGCCCAATCAATACAGAAATAAGTCCATTTTTAAAATCAAAAAACGACGCGGAATTAATGCATCGTAATAGATTCCAAATATTCTAACTTGCCCCACCCCATTACTATTTATTAGTTATAGATTTTCTTAATTTTTAGTTATGCTCATATTATATAAACTTATATTACTTATGGTTTTTCCACTAAGAAATTAATTTGACCTAAAATAATTTGGAATAATAATGTTATTTAATCATACAGTACGTAATGTGTCACTGTGTTATTGTTATAATGATTTGATGTTAATTATACATGTATTTTAAAACATATGTGAAATAAATTTTAAATTTTATGCAATTGAACGAAAAAGTAGCCGTCATTGTATTCAAAGCAATTATAGCAAAAACTGATTTCTTAGAATAATTACCATCTAATCCACTTCTATTAATATCAAAACTATTTTATGAATTTGTAGGTAAAAAGAGAACAATGCATATTATCCACACTAAAGAGCATTATTACAATGAATTATGATAAAGCGAGCCCGTATTATCGTTATGCTCGACATAATTCTATTAATTTAGAAACTTGCACATGTACATGTATATGTGTGTGTATTGTGTTAATGTGTAACAGAAAAAAAAGGGGCTACTGCTCTGTACTCTGTATATAACTGCATTTTTAATCGCCCAAAACGCTTTGTTTTAAGTATCATCGAACGTTTCTTGTAGAAATCATAAGTAATCGAACAAAAGTCAACAGTCTATCGAAAGCTATTGTTCAAAAGAACAAATGATCGTTCGTTTACGAATAAAAATTCTCCGATCCTTATACGTTAGAGCGAATCTTGGTAAAGAATCAAAATATTTCGTATATACGAGCTGCTAGTGAAATGTCTGCTTGTTTATGAGAGTTTGCCTTGTAAACTCTCTATACAAGTCAGTGCACTCAGAATAGAGACTCAGTCAAAATGAAATAAGCATATTTTTAAAGTTATAAAGTTTGATTTGTATATTTAACAAAAACAGCAACAACAGCAACAAAAGCCACAAGAGCCTTTAAGGAATTAATCACTGCAATAAAAATTGGTTTATTATATAAATTTACTTGTAATCATTTGTATCGATATTTTTATGATATAATAAATGGGAAAATGTCATTATATAAATGAATTACCAATTTAATTAAGTTCTCACTGTTCAGGATTTAGAAATCCATTCAAACTCCGGCGCGATTCTATTTGTCATGCGATCACTTCCGAATTTAAAAAAAATACATGTACTTAGAAAAACTATTAGAAAAACCATCCTTTCATGTGGTTAGCTTGAACCAATTAATTCGTTTAATACAATAAAAGTACTCTATGAAATCTACGAAGAAAGTTGTAACAATAATGATGGTGACACTGTTTAACTTGGAGCTTTTACAATATGCATCAATCATTGATTATTATTAAAAAAAACTATAAATACGAGGCATTTTATCATCGTAGTAGAACAGGCACCCAAATCAACAGTTTAAATCTTCATTTTAGAGCAGAAACCCAAACCGAAGTTTTAAATATAGTTAGAATTTAGAACTGAGTGAAAAGAGACTATTAGTTAAACTAGCATATACACACAAATATCAAAGACACAAAATGAAAGTAGCCAACAATAAAAAAGCCAAATCATTCAAAAAGCCGACGAAAGCCACAAAAAGTCCTATAAGCAAGAAAAGAGACAACGATTATGCAACAACTTACAAATATGAAATTGAAAGAATAAAAAGAATTTTAAAGTTTGATCAAATTCCTTACACGTTAGATGACATTTTTAATTCTGAAAGTGAGAGTCTTTTTCGCAAAGCTGACGGCAAAATTAAGCGACCCCCGAATTGCTTTATCTTCTTTCGCCAAATTACGATTACTTTGATTAAAGATACTCAAATGTCTGCTGAAGATCGAAAATTTTTTGAAACCTTGGACCAGCCACAACTCTCGAAGATTCTTGGTGCACTGTGGAAATCTTTATCTGCAGATGTGAAGTCCCATTATAAAGAATTATGTGATAAAGTGGTTGCATTACATAAAAAGAGGTATCCAGATTGGAAATACGCACCAAATAGGAGTAAAGCAATTTTCAAAGTGGTTAAATTTGATTCACATGTTCAAGAACCACAATATCAAGAAACACAATATGAAAAACCGCAATATCAAGATCAATCTTATGAAATCGAAAATCAACCTGGAGTCACACCTGAATACATGCAAGTTGAATACACACAAGCTGGGCTCAATCAAACTCCCGTTGAACCTTGTAACTCAGAACTTGATTTAAGTTCCTTTTTTGATTTTCCCGACTTAAATGAATGTGAAATAATGAACAATTTCTTGTATAATAATAATGAACAATGTTTGATTTTTTAATTGCAAATTTTAGATAAAGAATGTTAAATATGTATTAGTATATGAACATCATTTTTTTTATAGTATACGGATACCACTTAAGTATGTCACACACACACGATAAGCAAGCAAGCTGCATAATACATGTACATGCACATTTTAATACAACATTTGTCACACAATAAGAATTTATTTCTACAATCTCGTATTACTGTTATAAAATATAGAATGCATTGAATATCGATATACAGATATACAAAATACATATATATCTTCAAGATATAATTGGGAAAACCTCGTTAGCTAAATTGTCTCTAGCGAAAAGAACTAAATTAAAGTTTTTCCGTTTTCAAATTTGATCAATCTTGTGCAACTTAATTAAGCTACCCCCCGAAAGATTCAAAAGATTTCCACTGAAATATCCCATTTTGCTATAACAATTAAAGACGTTAACATTAACATCAATCCTCATTACATGTACATGTATATATGTATTTATTATTATTTTATTAGCGTACGCGTTTAGCGTTTGTATTTTATTATTATCACTATGTTCATTTTACATACATATAATGAGGAGGGTTTCATTTTCATTTCTTGATGCATGCACCACCGTTTTTGTGATTTGTCTCACAACATTTTAAAATTAACCATTCTAGAAATGTATTACCGTTACCGGTGAAGTTTGTTTTTTACAATTATACAAAAATGTTGACGCATGAAAAATAAAAGTTAATAATTGCTTCTAATAAAAATGATGTAAAATATAACTAATATTTATAAGTTATTTTATAAATAAAGCATGACTTAATATAGATTTTTATAATATTTTTCTTATACTTTAATAATAAATAAAACAAAACTTTTGCATTTGAAAAATAAAATTTGTGATTTTTAAAATTTGAATTTTATGTGTTTATACTAGGCAAATGCATTATTGTACATGTAATAAACATATATTCCAAAATTGGATTAGTATTTGTGAATAAATTTAGTATTAAAGTTCAAAAAATAGTTTATTATAAAGTTTGCAAAAAATTACTATATTTTTCAGATAAAAAATATTAGTAATTATATATATTTTTTCTATAAAATAATTAAAAACTTATGTATTAAAATATTCTTTAATACCATATAATTAAAATTTGAATTTTTTTAAAAAAATTTTTTATAATAGATGTTATCGGTATCTACATTTTTGCACTGGACAATACCAGAAACGAAGTTTACCAGTGTGTCTGTGAATACTGAGCTTTAACGTTAAAAATTTGAGGATCGTTATCTGCTCCAAAAAATGTTGTTGCATAAATTTTCAATTTATCGGTAATTAAACATTAAGTGTCGACTTCTTTCTATTAAACCAAACTTAGCCTCAACAAGAGACCCGGAATGTCACGTGTAATTAAATGTGAGAGCACAAAAATTCAAATAGCGATAACGATAACGATAAGTCAACATGCACGAAAGTTTAGTCGTATCAAACCTCGTTATCGTGGTAACCAAAAAAATCTTCACTATAACTTATACCAAGAGAATATCATATAAATTTGTTATATTTCCCAATGATTCTGAGAAAATTCTTCATTATATTGAGAGTTTTACTATAATGAGAGTTCATTACGAGATTGAATTGTATCATTATAAAAGGGATAATTCGTGTAGTTTTATTCGTGTTTGTTACACTTTTATTATTCTACCAAAAAATATTACAGCATATAACCAAGTTCAATGATTTTAGAGTCAATACTAGTCTATAATGTATTGCTTTGTGCAAAACCTGTAAAAAAATCCTCAGCAACTTTCATATTAATAAAATCATTTAACAGCAAATAAATTACAAAGTTTCTTTTCATGGCTGCTTTCAAGAGACATTATTGAATAATTTGGAGTAGATAATCCAAACCTCATCATAGAATTTGTAACACGTAAAATTTATATATAGAATCGATATACCGATACTGTAACATCCCACGTAAATTTCAGACGCTACGTAGACTTTATATGGGTTTTGCATAATTTTTTCAAACTTGAAGCTTTTCTGCTGATATCCCACATAAGTTCTGATAGATTTTTTACGGGTATTCTATGTAAGTTCTATGTAAATCCCTGCATGCATTCTACATTTTATATTCAATCCAATTTTTATTTATTTTAACATCTTTATATTCAATTGATAACATATCAATATATACAGCTCATACATATAAAGTATTATCAGTTTGATTTTCTTTCTATTTAAATGTCTGATCAATAAATACCTTAAATAAGTTATAATTATTTAGATTTTGATATGTTAAGATTTTGCAAATATTACTAAGTATTAGAATTCTTTTTCTAATTCATTTTTTATTTGTATTTCATTAGACTTGATCTCAGTTAATTTGAATTTGAAAATTTTAAACATATAATCTTTATAGTCTTTATATATTCTCTCTATATACATCTTGCTTATAATTTAGTCTATTATATAATTTAATAAATTAAAACTATTTCTAATATATTTATTATTAAATTTTAATTAAATATATATTTAATTTAATATTTGAATATTATATCTCATTATAATTTAAGTTAATATTTTTAAATTTTTTATTTTCTTATTTTACTAGAATAAAATATATCAAGTTAGATCTTGATATTATTTCTTAGTTTATTATTAGATGAATATTTTTATTACAATAGCTTTTTTAATAATATTTTCATTTCAGACTTATAATAACAAAATAAAATTTTAAATAATATATAATTTTTATAGTTTATATAAAAAATAATAATGAATAAATTTTTAATTATGTGAATTTACTAAAATATTTACAAAATATATAAATAACTTATAAATTTATACTAATAAATATTATATTTTTTCTATTTATTTATTATTATTATTATTATTATATAATTATTATTTTTATTATTAAAAATTTAATTTTTATATTTAAAAGAACTTTTTTAATTAAATTTTATTATAACTTTGCAAAAATTTCTTAAATAAAATTATATTAATATTTCTTGCAAAATATATAATATTTATCTTTATTAAAATATTAAATTTTAATTATTTATTTTTTAGTTATTTATATAAAGTCTTTTTTTAAAAAATTTTATAATATAATATATATTTATTATAATTTTAATTAAGTTTAAATTTAATCTTATATATAATAAATAATTATTTTTAATTAAAAATATAAAAAAGAGAGCTAAATATATTATATAAAATTTTTTATTATATTAATAAAAGAGTCAAATTAAAATTAATATAAAAAGAAAGTATATTAAATATAAATATTTTAATATAAAATTCTATTTATAAATATCATAAAAATAAATTTTTATATATAGTTATTATTTTTAATTTTTAAAAATTATCTGTTATTATTTTTTATATAAATTATAATTTATAAAATTTATTTATTAATAATTATTTATAAGCTATAATATTCTTTATATTAATTATCTTTTTAAAGTTCTTGTAAATTATTTTTATAATATTTAATTTATTTATTAGTTATTAATAATAATATTAAGAATATTATTTATATTATTAATATTATTAATATTATTTTTAATATAATTTTATTATAAGATAATATAGCTTTTTAATTTAAAATTATATTTAAATAAAATATTATTAATATAATTAAGATTATATATAGTAATAAATATAATTAATATAATACTTGAATTTTTTACTAATTATAATTATATTGATTAGTAAAATTAAAACTTTTACATATAAGAAAAAATATATATTTTACTAATTATAATTAATAAAAATTCAAGCATCATATTAATTATAATTATTATTATATATATTATTTTAATTCTTATATATTTAAAAATATATAAAGATTCAAATATTTTATTTTTTGAATATTTATATATTTATTATTATATTTATTATTATTAAAATATTATAGTTATTAAATTAGTTTAATATTAGTCTTATAGAAGAAATAAAAAAAATAAATATAGCTTTTAAATAAACAAGTATGCTTTCTGAATTTTCAGTTAAATTTATATTATCAAAATTAGTATTTGTTTTTAAGAATTTTTTCCTTTGATTTTAGGCATATATTGTTAAAGTTATTTGAAAAATATATTTATTAATATAATTAATTCTAATTATAGCTATATAATTTTATTGATATAATAATGATATTATTTAAGAAGTAGATATGATATATATGCTACTCAATAATTATGATTGCTAAAATCATTTTATTCAATATTCTGGCATTCAAAATCTTCAACTCTCTAACATCCCAACATTTTGGCATTGTCAAAATTCTGACCTATCCAAACATTCTTCAAGATGATACTAATTTTTATTAAATCATCAAATCTATATCCTGCTGTTATATTTGATATAGAGATTAGATCTATTTACCTATCGTCTGATTCATTTTCACCTGCATAACAAAATTTTTATATAGGTACAAAAAATAAGTTTATGCGTCTTGTTTTCTGTTTTTCATCCAATTGCCGGTTTGAGAGTTCCGGGCTTTCGTCTGGGAATTTTCAAGTTGGGTTATTTATTTGTGTCGGATTTGTTTTACCGGGCTGATCAAAAATTCTTTATATTCCTTAAATAAGATATAATTGAAGGTGACAGTTCGTCATAAGCTGATGCATGCTACAGTTCAAATTAAGCGGAATTTCAGATTTCGGGTCCGTGATTGGTGTTGCATACTAACACTGGACAAGACATCATGCTTTTTTTATAACGGTTTTAGGTAACCATTTAAAAAATTGCGCAGAATAAGAGAATACACATGGTTTTTACAAATTTATAATTTTTTGTTAAAAAGTGAAGTTCCAGTAACAATAATTCATAACCAAATATAGTAACGTCTGATTCGTGGTTAATATTCTAAAGAAAATTTTCAAAGAAGATAACTGCCGGTGAATTTTGAAATGACAAAACGCTTTGTTTGAATGCTAAGACTTTTAAATACGACTATTTTTAGAATCCGACCAAGTCATCTATAAAAATGGACAAAGCTGACAAAACTTTACAATCAGTTTTTAATGACCTGTAAAAACATGAGCGAAGAAGAGATTCAAGCTTTAGCTGAACTGCTTCACAGTTTTGTAATTCGGTCGCAACCTTGTGAAAATTTCATTAATGAGCTTTGTGAAATTTACTTAAAAAAGGGAGAAGACCTGAAAGCAATAGAAAATAGTTATTTCATACTTAAAAGGTTTATAAGAGAGAAACTAGATAACGGCGTCGTCGAAATTCCTGAAAATCTAACTATTACGAGGAATCAGATAACGTTTGTAAAAGTGGTGTCAATTATATGGAAGAAACTTTCATTTAAACAGAAAAGTGTTTATGGAAAAATTCGAAAAAATATAGAAATTAAAGTTAAAGAGAATTACCCTAATTGGAAGCCCAATCAGTACAGAATAAAGGCCACTCTAAAAACCAAACAAGGACGTGGAATTTGTGTATCGTAAATACTCTAATTTATCCCATTACTATTATTAATATTAATTATAAAAATCCTTAATTTATTTATGCTTATATTATATAAATCTATATTATGGAATGATATGTTTTATAAGACTGTAATTTAAAGAATAGTTTATGCTTTTACATGTTTATACATTAATACGTAATATGTCACAGAATTATTTTGATGCTAATGTATTTTCTCTTTTAAACATAACGGAATAAAAGTTTGCATTTTAAACAATGCATTTTGAAAAAGCAATATTACATGTAACATTGAACGGGATAACTGATCCTGTATTTTGTATGCACCCAAGTTACGGAGCGAAAGTTTCTTATAAAAACCTATAGCGCAAGCGCTATGCGGCGTGCCCGTCGCAGCGTCACACGCGGGACCCATTTAAGGGGCAGCAGCACAATATATAAAGATCCGATTTAATATGCATGTATATGTACATGTACAGTTAGCATTATTTATTTACTAAGGCGAGCCCGATACATATTAATGCATAATTCTATTGATTAACATAACGGTAGCGTTACGTAATTAAACAGTATATATATAATTTTAAATTAACCATTTCCCTTTGTTCTAGCAAGTCAATATCACAATATACATGTATATTGGCTAATTGGAACAAATTCTTGGAACAAATTCTTGTAACAAACTCTCCGAACAAATGAATCAAACTCTTCTTTTAAGAAATAATGCGGTCAAATAGAACAAAAGATTAAAATCGTCGAGAACAGACTTATCGAAAGCTCATTGTCGAAACGAAGAACAAATTATCGTTGTACTGTTTACGAATTAGAATTCAATCCTTTATAGCGGAAGTTTTGGTAAAGAAGAGCAAAGAATCAAAATATGACGTTTTTGTTCTCTTGGCAACAACGACGCAATTACGGAAATGATCGATTGTTTTATGCATTATCTTCGAAGAATTACCTAAATGAACGAGTAAAATCTCCGTAACGGTAAGTTATTGCATTCGGAATGGAAATTTCAGTCAAAACGAAAATAAGCATATTTTTAAGGAGGAGTCTTTAGAGAATTAATCCTTGCATTGTTATATAAATGTGCTTGTAACTAAGCTAAGCCATGCTCATTTTTGTCGATATTGAATGAATTTATAATACAATAAATGAATATAAAATAAAAAATATATTTATGAATTTCCAATTTAATTAAATATCCCACTGTTTAATTTGACAATGGAAAACTCTGCGATTCTATTGTTCTGATACTAGAATTAGGTTCAATCTGTCTGTTGATTGGTACAATGAAAAGGCTCTATGAAGAAACACTATTTTTCGCGATCATTGATTGGCGATGATGACAGTTAAATTAAAAATTTTTATTTTTTATGCATTGATCGAAAAAATATAAATACTCGACTTCATTTTATACAAAACGCAAACTCAACTTTTTAAATCTTCAACTCGAGAAGTTAGAACTCAGAGAATATCAGCTAAGCTAGCATACATACACAAATAAATAGAGACATCAAAATGAAAAGAGGCAACCATAAAAAAGTCAATTTACCTAAATGCAATAATCTGAAAAGAATCACAGAAAGCCCTATTAGCAAGAAAAGAGACAATGATTATGCAACAACCTACAAATGCGAAATTGAAAGAATAAAAAGAATTTTAAAGTTTGACCCAATTCTTTACACGTTAGATGGCATTTTTAATTCTGGAAGTGATAGTCTTTTTCGTAAAGCTGACGGCAAGATCAAAAGACCTCCTAATTGTTTTATCTTCTTTCGCCAAATTGCGATTACTTTAATTAAAAATACTTCAATGTCTGATGATGATAGAAAATTTTTTGACAATTTGGACCAGCCACTACTCTCAAAAATTCTTGGGGCTCTGTGGAAATCTTTTTCTTTAGCTGAGAAGTCTCCTTTTAAAGCATTATGTAGTGAAGTGGTTGAATTGCATAAATCATTGTATCCAGATTGGAAATATGCACCGAATAGGAGTAAAGCAAGTTTCAAAGTTGTTAAATTTGATTCACGTGCTCAAGAACAATATCAAGAACCACAATATCAAGAACCGCAATATCAAACTCAATATTATGAAGACTGCCCGGTCGAAAATCAATCACCAATTTCTAAAGTCATACCAACTGAATTCACACAAGAGGAGCTCATGCAAACTGTGTTCATACAAGATGGACTCGTGCAATTTGAATCCACACAAGGCGGGGTTAATCAAACTCCCATTGAACTTTATAACTCAAACCTTGATTCTTTTCTCTTGGGCGAGCAACAAGTTATTTATTCCACACACGAACAATTTACTTTTGATGAACAATCCTTTTTTTTCAATATCAAATTTGATGAACAATCCTTTTTCAATATTAAATAGTAAATAATATGTATATATATTTAACATTTTTACGAACGCTTAAGTATGATGCATCATTTTTTAAAAGTTCAGTTAAAGTCAAATACCTACCACTACCGCTGATTTAAGTTTGTCTCACAATAAGAAACTCATGCATAATACATGTACAAGTTATATCAAAATTACTTTGGTTTCACATAATAAGAATTTAATATCGAGTTGCACATAACAATAAGAATTTAATATTTTATAAAAAAATAAAATAAATTCCATCTGTATTACTGTTATAAGATATGAAATATCTTGTTCGAACTATAATTGGGAAAAGATCGTTAACTAAATTGCTTAGGCGAAAAGAATTAAATTAAAATTTTCTGTTTTCAAAATTGTGCAACTATAGTTTAAAATTTCTAAATACAGGGAGCTACAGTAACACTCTTTAAGATAACATCTCGTAATAATAATAATAGTAATACCAAATCTCTTTCCCCTATCTCATTATTTTCAATAAGCATTCATTCTTTCGATAGAGTGACATCTTAATATAACATAAAATCCCTTCCCCAAATCACGTTATATATTTATTAACAACTTAGTCCTAATTGAAGATAATAACTTGCTTGCTTGGATTATATTAATGTCAAATTCTGTAATCATTAACAAAATAATTTTACAACTTGATAGCAACGGACACAATTATTACAAAGATTATTTTCTATTGTATTGCGCGTTCATTCTAATAAGCTACATCAAAAGATCCCAAGGACGATCATTACATCATTTGAAATATGCCTTTTTGCTATACCAATTAAAGTACATCATCCCTAACGTTAATATACGTATATCGATATCGATATGTACTGTACGTATTATTTTTTTTGTATCACTTTCACAATAGTGAGAGGCGTGCATGCATTGCATTGCTCATCGCTTTGACGCATGTATGTTTTGATCTCACAACACTTATTTTAATGTATTACTGTTATGCATAATGTACCAGAATGAATTCATCATGTGTATGTCGAGGATCGCTAAAAATGCTGGTACATTTCATCTCATATTCGGCTTTCAGTATTTTCAATATCGTTATGACTTCTGTCAAAGTTAAATCAAGCTTAGTATTGATTTGCATATATTTGGTTTTTCTGAATGTCACGTGTAATTGATCAGTCATGAAAATTTGACCAATCCAGTTGCGAGTGCACAAAATTTTAATCTTGCCAAACCTCGTTATCGGGTATGCGAATATTATATAACTTCATTATGTCGAGTCAAAGCCTCTATTTTAATAGTTTTATTTTTGTTCATTATGTCAACAAAAAGTGTTACAGCATATGGTTGAGCTCAATAACCTTAGAGCTGATAATGATTTATTAATGTGTTATTATTATTGAGCAAAGTCTGTATGCTATGCTAACAAATCCTCAGTAACTCCCATATTAATAAAATCTGGTGTTCGCCATGGCTATTATTTTATTCAGAATACAGTAACGACCAAAAGTAATGCATCAGGGGCTAGATTTATTAATAAAACATAGTGAAAATTGAAATTATTTCTTAATAAAATTATAAATTTTAATATAGAGAAATAATTTCAATTTTCGCTATGTTTTATTAATAAATCTAGCCCCTGATGCATTACTTTTGGTCGCTGCTGTAGTTATTTGAAGTATGTGCGTATTTTCGTGAATGATGCCAAAAAAGATAAATCAAATTTATCTTTTAAGCCATGTCGTGAATTATAAATTTCTTTTACTAATTGCTTATATGCTTTTTTAAAATTATGGTTCTTTATCCATGAACTTGCAGAAAATTTGAAAGTTTTGGCATATGAATCGAAAGGTTATTCTCATTCGCTTTTTGAAAGACAAGATTTTTCGATATATAAAATACGCGTTGGGTGGCTTTGTTGGAACTTTCCTTTACGCGTAGTATTAGGAACGAGTTCATTTGCAGCAATATCTTGGTCTAATAAATTCTGTCAGTGTTTGGATATTGTATTTAGACATATTGAGAGAAACTCAATATTTTATGAAGGTAATTTTTTTAGATTGAATTTTGCTTTTATAAATATAGGTTGAAGAATTCGGCATCTCTAAGCACGTATTTATTCGCATTCGTTTCTATCATCACGCATCGATCTACATGTTGCTATTATAGCCAATTAAATTCTATGTCAACAAACGAAAAATTCAAATATGCAATAAATATGGGTGAGATCGTCGAAGAAATAAAGTGATTCGTCACACTTTATAATAAAGTTAGTAGTTTTTTGTTCAGTTCTTATATTATTCATCTATAATGAAGTATTGAAAAATTTTGAAACCCTATTTCGAAAAACAGTCCAACTACTTACACGATAGTAACTATAAGAAATCTTTTCACGTTCAGAACTAAAGGTATGTACTGCTATTTCGAAATACATATTGACATGTTATATATATCGAATATTAAGATTCTACAAATGTATGTTCATTTGTTTCATACGAAGGTAAAACTGCTATTAATATTAATATGATAATATCAAATATCAAGAAGATACACCAACTTTAAATGCACTCTGAATAATAAATGACTTGTAAAGAAAATTGATCTTGAACACAGCTGGCTGACTCTTACACGTCATTCATAAAATCGATAACTTCCACAACAGATAATCACTTTATATAGTAAACCCGTTTAATACTTCAAATATGCATAGTTGCAGCGACAAGATATAAAGAATTGTGCTATGTGTTCAGCTTATAGCATTCATGAATGTATTAAATATATTTACTGTCAAGACTAGAAGTATTATATTTTAATATACAGTGTGTTAAAAAAGTCTTTTGAATTTTTTAATTCAAATAAAAATTTTTAAAAAAATAATTATTGTTTAAATAATAAAAAAATATTTTATATATATTTTTTATAAAAATAATATATTTAATAAAATCTTAGTAATATCTCTTATAAACTTGAATTTATAGTTTCAAAAATTTTCAAAAATTTATTTTTTCAAATCTATTATAAAAATTTTTAAATAATTTTAATAAGTTATTTTATATTTTGCTTTTAAGTAAGTTTGATTATTAGATTATAAGAAATTTTAGTAAAATTTTGATAAAAATTTGATAAATTTTCATTCTGTAATAAAGAAAAATATAATTATCATTATTTTTTTGCAGCATTTTCATGAAACCTTCATATATATAAAATATATATGAAATTTTTTTCTAAATTGATTTTCTTAATCTAAAAAATTAATTTAAAAATATAATACTAATATTCTTTAATAAATGATATTAAGTAAACTTTTTTATATTAAGTATATTTATTTATTTTTATGCAAATTTAATTAGCTATTACTGTATAATCACTTTTTAAATTTGTTCAAAGACTTTTTTAATACACTGTATATATAATGAAGATTTATAAAATTATGAATATATAATTAAACTTATCTTTAAATCAATTTGCATTTTTGAGTTTCATATATGTTGAATATTTTAATGATGTATTTGTATATTTTTTTGTAGGATTATTGCTTTGAAATAGTCTTTCACTTTTGAGATTTATTACAATGATAAATGTAAATATAAAAAGTTTTAATGATATTATTTTGTAATTCAACAGTAGCTTGTAGTCACAACACTCTTTCTACAATTTCAGGTATTAGATCACTTCAAAATATGATAATTTGTTATTATATTCAATGAAAATATCCCCATAATTATAATATTATTGGATTCTACTAAAATGATCACTTTGAAATGAATAGCTTTATATGTTTTATTATTAAAATATGCTTTATTTAATATAAAAAATTTATAAATATTAGTTGTATTTTAAATAACTTTTTTGGAAGGAATTATTTTTCGTGTGTCAACATTTTTGCACTGGACAATATTATTGTAAACACAAACTTCACCAACACCAATACGAAACGGTAATACATTTCTAGAATGGTTAATGTTAAAAATGTTGTGAGGCAAATCACAAATTGACAAAAAAACAGTGGATGCATCAAGAACAGTGAATGCGCCCTCATTATATGTAAAAGTGAATATAATGATGATAATATTAAGATATAAACGCAAACGCGTACTTTAATAAAATAATAATAAATAACATATACTTATATACATGTAATAAGGACAATGTTTATCGTCATAGAAAAATGGGATATTCCAAAGAATGCATTAGATGTCTTTTGAATCTTATTTTTAACTATAAGTTACACAAGATCGCTCAAACTTTGAAAACATTTAGTCCTTTCGCTAGAGACAGTTTAGTTAACGAGGTTTTCCCAATTATAGCTTGAAGATTGTACAAGATATTTTGTATATCGATATTCATTGCATTCTATATTTTACAACAGTAATACAAGTGTGAGCGTAAAGTTGAGATTGTTTTATGCAATAATAATAACGATAACGATAATAAATTCTTATTTGTGTAACAAATGTGGTGTTACGGTATTACATGTACATGTACATGTATTATACAGCCAGCTTGCTTGCAGTATAAACATGTTGCATCATTATACTTGAATGTCGTAAAATGTTGTATGTTTAATCAAAATGGATATTACATTATTATATATTTAAAAATAAATTATTATTAAAAGAATTTACATGTATTTTTTATTTTTCAATTGTAAAAATGTATATATAAACTTTAATAAATAAAATTTAAAAATTATGACATTTTTAAATGTCTAGTAATGGGAACATAGTGCATTTTGCTGATCACTACATGCTGGCATATAGCGATAATGTCGTAAAGACCCATCGCTAAAAGTATTTGATTAATATGCGCATAATATTTGACTATGCATTTATCCATTATAAATATCTATATATTTAACATTAAATATCTACAATTTGCAATTAAAAAAATTGATTGTTCATACAATTATAAAGAAATTATTCATGTTCATTTATGAAAAAAAATTTTATCAGCAGACTTTCGAGTATCTCTAATCAAAGTCGCGAAAGAAGATAAAGCAATTAGGGGCCTCTTAATTTTGCTGCCAGCTTTACGAAAAAGACTCTCACTTTCAGAATTAAAAATTTCAGCTAATTGGATCAAACTTTAAAATTCTTTTTATTCTTTCAATTTCGAACATAAATTAGCGTGTGTAACGATAACGGTGTTACATAATTTAGAGCAAATATAGTCATTTCTATTTGTTCTAACAGTCAACTTCATAATATTGGCTAATTGGAATAAACTCTCCGAACAAATTAACTGCAATCCCTCAGACGTTTCTTGTAAGAAATCATGAGGGGCAAAGTAATCGAACAAAAGATTAAAATCGTCGAGTAACAACAGACTTATTGAAAACTCATTGTCTAAACGAAGAACAAATGATCGTTGCTCTGTTTACGAATTAAAAAATTCAATCCGTTATAGCGGAACTTTTTGGTAAAGAATCAAAATACGACATTTCTGTTCTCTTATCAACAACGACGCAGTTACGGAAATGTCTGCTAATGATCGATTGTTTTATGGGAATTTGGGCCAATCATTATTCCGAAGATTCGCTAGTAATTACCTATATGAACCAGTAAAATTTCTACATTGCACTCGGAATGAAAATTCAGTCAAGACGAAAATAAGCATAATTTAAGGTTACAGCGCAAGAATCTTTAGAGAATTAATCCTTACGATAATTTTCAAAGTAAAGATTATTTTATTACTATAAAAATGCGCTTGGAGCTATTCTCGTTTTTGTCGATATTGAATAAAGTCAGAAGATGATTTATAATACAATATAAATAAAAATAGATTTATATTGATTAAATGAATTCCCAATTTAGCATTTTAGAAATGTACATTGAAAACTTCAAACTCCGCGATTCTACATCAAAACGCCGCAATAATAACATCAAGAGAAAAGAAAAACGATCCGTCACGATTATTGGTGGTGACGACACTGTTAAATTAAAATTTTATGTTGTGCATTGATCGAAAAAATATAAATACTGTTCAACTTATTTTATACAAAAAACCAACTCAACTTTATAAATCTTCTTCAACTTGAGAAAAACTCAGCGAATATTAGTTAAACTAGCCTACACACACAACATCAAAATGAAAGAAGACAACAATAAAAAAGTCAATTTACTTAAACGCAACAATCTGAAGAGAGTCACAGAAAGTCCTATAAGCAAGAAAAGAGACAACGATTACGAAACCACTTTCAGTTACCAAATTGAAAGAATAAAAAGAGTTTTAAAGTTTGACCCAATTCCTTATACGTTAGATGAGATTTTCAATTCTGAGAAGGAGAGTCATTTTCGTAAAGCTGATGGCAAAATAAAGAGGCCTCCCAACTGTTTTATCGTCTTTCGTCAAATTGCGACTACTTTGATTAAAGATACTCCAATGTCCGATGATGATAGAAAATTTTTTGATAATTTGGACCAGCCACTACTCTCAAAGATTCTTGGGGCTCTGTGGAAATCTTTTTCTTTAGCTGAGAAGTCTCCTTATCAAGCATTATATAGTGAAGTGGTTGAATTACATAAATCATTGTATCCGGATTGGAAATACGCACCGAAAAGGAGTAAAGCAATTTTCAAAGTTGTTAAATGTGATTCGCATGCTCAAGAACCACCACAAAATCAAGAACCACAAAATCAAGAACCACAATATGAAGAACTACAATATCAAGAACTGCAATATCAAGAACCGCAATATTATGAAGACTGCTCGATCGAAAATCAATCATCAATTTCTAAAGACATAGTCGCACAAGATGAGCTCATGCAAACTGAATTCATGCAAGATGAACGCATGCAATTTGAATTCACACAAGCTGGGATCAACCAAACTACCATTGAACCAAACCTTGATTTTTTTCTCGTGGATGAACAACAAGCTATTTATCCCACATACGAACAATTTACTTATGAACAATCCTTTTTTCAATAGCAAATAATATATGCTATGTATTATATGTACCATTTTTACAGTTCAGTTAAAGTTGAATACCTAACCGTCACCGCTGACTTAAGTTTATCCCACAATAAAAAAATCATGCATCATACAAGTTATGTCGAAAATCACGCTTGTTACACCTAACAATAAGAATTTAAAAAATCAAAATAAATTCCATCAGTTTTTTCTCAACTTTATGTATTGATTTGTATTACTGCTGTATGTAATGCAGTTAAATAAATTGTTCGAGCTATAATTGGAAAACCTCGTTAACTAAATTGCTCTAGGCGAAAAGAATTAAATTAAATTTTTCTGTTTCAAGATTGTGCAACTATAGTTTAAAATTTCCATACAGGGAGATCTTGCTGCAGTAAGATAACATCTCGTTAAAATAACACGAAATCTCTTCCTCGATCTCATTATTTTAATAGGCTTTCATTATATTTATTATTTCGATAGAGTAACATCTTAATATAACGATAATCACTTCCCCAATCACGTTATTGTATTGAGCGCTCACTGTAATAAGTTACATCGAAAAATCCCAAGGACGTTCACTACATTATTTGAAATATCTTTTGTTATAACATTATGTCATCACATTATGTCATCACTTATTTTATATATATATATATATATATATATATATTGTACGTATTATTATTTTTATTAGCGTTTTCGTTTACGGTTGTATCTTATGAATCACTTTCACATGCATTTAATGAAGCATGCATTCAACATTTATTTAATGTACTACCTTTTGTGCATAATACATGTACCAGAATGAAATTCACCATGATTGATTTTGTTTTTAATGAGGATTGCTATCCGCTCCAAAAATGTTAAAGCATTTCATCTCACATTCAGCTTTCAGTATCGATAATTTAACGTCATGACTTATATTAAATCATTGATTTTGCATATGCATGTATTTGATGTATTTGGGCTTTTTTACGTGTAATTGATCAATCATGCAAATTTGACCAATCCAATTGACAGGGCTGTCAAATAGACATTTTAGACAAATAACATCTCTGTCTAAAATAGTTGTCTATATGTCCAAAATCTCTCCGGTTTTAGACATAATTTTCATGATTTTAGACATTTTGTAATATCACGTGACTTATTATAAATCATGTGACATAAAATAACGGTCACTGTTTATTGTATCTCGTCCAAAACTAATAAAAACGGACTTTTGACAATCTCGCACAAACAAATCTCTTAAATCCCATTCTGCCTCTATCAACAGCAGGGTGAATATAATCTGAGAGCAACGAGTTAGCAATTCTACCATCTAAAGTTTCCATATCAGCTTCATCTTCATATTGTGCAGTTAATTCATCTTCAAGTAAGGTTTTCTATTTGTTAATTTGACTATCCCATTCCATCACAGTAGTTTTTCAGCTGTATCTTGTTCTTCAAACGTATTATTCATATTATTATCTTGTCCTTCAAGATGCTCAGAATCAATTGATGTTACATTTTCCGCAAAAAACTTTTGTTTGTTCTGTTTTTGTTGTTCTTGACGTGTCTTGAAATTAATATTAGCACAAATTTGGCTCATGACAAGAAATTTATCTGGTTATAATTGGAAAATAACAGAAAAAGATTAGTTTATTATTATAATCTATGAAATAATAATAATAAACTAATCCTTTTTTTCAAATAATCATAATCTAACTAAATTTATTAAAACATCTTAGACAAGTTGTGTTGCCTTTGATAGGAAAAAATTTATTCATGGCCGGAAGGAATCAAAAAGTTACAATTGGTGAGAAATATAATATTACATGCTATAAGGAATTCTACTGTTTAGTTAAGTCATAATTTGTTATATTAGGAGAATAAACAATGTATGATGAAATATATACAAGTAGTGCTGTTATAAGGGTGCGGGTACAAAAAATGGACTATATTTTTCTATTTCGCATGGTTTTTCATTGAAAGTAATTATAAGTTATGAAACAGAATTTTACAAAGGAATATCAAACTATACGATGCAATGTATTAAGATATTCGTATTGGTATGTAAAAGAGTTAAAATGCATGTGGTTAACATGCATGTAAGTTTTTTCATAGATTCAATAATTATCTGTATTATCTTATTTGATTATAAAAAAATGATCAATTATCCCACGTAAGAATTGATAAAAAGAATAAATCTAAAGTTCAGTTCGTGAACGCCATAGAATGGGCAGGCCTGTACTTCCTTTTTATATTGAACCAATTTGTACCTATAATACTCTCCTCTAAGCATAATACCATTCATATTTTGAGAAGTTCTATTATATAATGCTTGGTACATTATATGCAGATATAATAGTTTATAGTAAAAGAAAGTTGAACAGAAATACTTAAACTTATTATTTTGAACAAACATACAATTGTTCTGAAACATCAAGTCTTATATCTTAAACAATCAAAACAAATTCTTAGTAGAACTGTAAGCTAGTTTTCTGAATTATGTCAGTTTTATGAGATAGCTAAATGAATAATTTATGCTATTAATTGCTATATAAATATTCACAAGTATTATTAAATTGAAGTTTCTGTTCATTGTAAGAGCACAAGTTAGATTGAAGTTTTAATTCAATTGGTCCAGTCTGATTATTTCATGATGTTATGTAAAGCAAAACTTTATATAAAAATGGATTTCAGAGATTTTTTATATAATATATTAATTACTAATTTTAATTTATATATTAAAATAACATTTTAAAGCATGAATATTTTTAATAGAATCAGCATTTATATGAATTATAGATATTTATATTAATATAAGTTTCAAAGAAATGAATTATAAAGTAAATTTATAAAATTTATTTGTGTAACTAATTAAAAAATATATTTAAAATAGGTTAGCATTAAAAAATTAAACTTTTAATAATTATATATATTGAAAAATCTTTTATTAATTAAAAATAAGATATATATTTATAGATATACATAACATATTAATATTATCTTTTAATAATATTAGATTTAAGAAACATAAAATATATCTTTATAATGAAAGAGAATAAACTAAGTTATTTATAAAAGAGAAGTTCTCTAAGTATTTTAGAGATTTTCTGTGATAGCTTTTAAGAAAATTACTAATCAGGATAATAAGAGAAAAATCAGTTAGTATATTTGAGAAAAATTTTGGATGATTTATTTGTTATAATAAATTATAATAATAAAAGTAAAATACTAAGTAAATTTAATAGTCAGACTTATCCAATCTTACAAAATAAATGCAAAAAGTAAAACAAAATTTATTCAGATTGAAGTACTTTCACTATTAATTTATGTTAGATACAAAAAAAATAAAAGCTATTTATAATACAAGCTTTAAAGATATAGTAATAATATATTCATAAGTAAAAGAATTATTATGAGAAAAAACTCTTCTCAATTTTAGTTATATCTTTTTTGTTCTTGTTTAAAGACTAAAGAACTTGTCTTATATAGATAGAATTTTTAATATTAAGTATATTGATAAGTTTTTATACTATTTATTATATTTTATATAAAAAAATTCTTTTTAAGAGATGTTTCAAGTCTTATAATTATATACTTTTTATTATTAATTATATAATAAAACTTGATAGAATAAATTTAGATAATTAGAAAAAATTTCAAAATCTGTTATATTAAGATTTTACTAATAAATTTATTATATCAAATAAAATTTATATATATTATTCTGAACTTTAATATATATTACATTATATCTTTAATTATATTAGTTTTTTTTATTTATAACTAATAATATCTTTATTATATCTTATTCTAATCAAATATTATATATAAAGTTATTAATCTATTATAAAATAATCTTTTCAAGAGATATTAATAATAATAATAATATAAACTTCTTGATTATTTTATTATTTTTTATTTATCTATAAAATTATTTATATTATAAATAGAGAGAAGAACTTGATCTTTAAGATTAAATTTTTTATATCTTTTATATTAACTAATATATTTACTTTATCTATTTTATATTTTAAGTAATAAATTTTTAATAATCTTTATTATAATATTCTAATATTTTATAAATTTTTATAATACTATAATATTATTTTGCTTTAAAAAAAAGTAATTAAAATATGAGATATTTGTTTATAATTTAGTTTTAATAATATATATTTAATAAAAATATTTTTATTATTATTATTATAAGCAAATTTAATTATTATTAAATTTTTATTTTATTAATATTACTTATATATTATATATATTCTAAATATCTCTTTCAAGATTCTATTAAGTCTTTCTATTTAGCTATCTAATTGTAAATAAAATATTATTAATATTACTAACTTAATTTTAAGCTATTTAAATAATAATTTTCAGAATTTACTTGTAAATTTAATAATTTTTATTTGATATTATGACTAAGAATAGATCATATAGTTTAAAAATATTTTTAAAAAATATTTTAATAATATCAGATACTACTATTATTATAATTATAAATATAAAATATATTTTTTTAGATAATTTATTAATAAATATAGCTATTATATTATATTTATACTTAGTAATTAGTAATTAAATTATAAAATTTATAAATAATTTATTTTTATTTATATTCTGAAATAATAATTAATTAAAGTATTTCTAAAGATTACTAATTATTACTTTTTAAAATCTTCTAGTTTTATATTATTATAGTAAATTAGTTAATAAATTTTCACTTGAATTTACCTTAATAATATAGAATTAAGATAGATTAAAATAATTAAAGAATAAATAGAGAAGAATTAGATTATAACTTTCAATAATGACAAAGATTTCTAAAATTTGTGTCATATCTATAGATATTATCTTAACAAAGAGTAAAATAAATAAGCAAAGTAATAAATAAATCAAAGAAATTATAAAGATCAGCTTAGTGAAACCACTAATAATTAATATAATTCAAGATTTGAAATGATTAAATAGTAAAATTACTATTAATCAAAAAAGATTATAACTAAAGAAAAGTAAAAACTAAAGTA